TGGTACGAATTTTCAGAGGTTGGGAACCATATCTTGCTGCTCATTGAAAAACTCGTGGAAACTATTCGTCTTTACCGCGGAACACCCCAAATAGTGAAGGTGATCTCCGAAAGCAAGAATCGATTCAGGCAGCCCACCCCTTCGATTTTCTTCTTGCCACAGAACGAGCTTGCAAGATCATCTTCATGCCATTCTCCGCTTGTGTCGGTACAGGAACGCCTTGTCTGAGCTATCCCACGCCTCAACATATATGTGTGCCATCCTGCCCACGGTGTTGATTTTCCTTGTCTCGAGTGTTCGCGCAACGAAACGGCAGATCGGCGCATCAGCAATATAAAAAACGATGTACAGCAGTAGCAGTGTTGCCTTGCAATTTTCGCCCACCCAACCTCCCCCCGATCGCCCTTCCCACGTATTTCTGCGATGGTTAATAATGTCGCAGGTTGATGGAGCGGTGGGGGAATATCTTGCAGTATGGGGGAGGGATGAGAGCGAGCGGGAATTGGGTGGGGATGTCGGAGGGCTCGTTGCTCTAAGGGTGATCCAGGCGGCATTCCTGCATTATCGCCATATATTTCTGGGACACATTCGTTTAGCACAACGTGTATTCGATACGTTCGGGTTTTGGCGTCCCTCGCATTCGTGCTTGGTTATGCATGTCGGTGTGGTTCCTGGAAGGCCCACGAACTTGCCATTGTTGGTATAAAAAGGAGGGTGAAGACGGTACGGTGGCAAGATTTTTTTGTTGTTCCACGACACTCGTAAAACCGTGGCATACTTGTTTTTTAAAGGGCGAAGCAATGCATGTGTAGGTATAGTAGGTTAAGCACCTCTTGAGGAAACAAGTATTGCGTGAGAATTGAATGACACATGCTGAAATGTAGGTGCAAATATGTGGCAGCATCGCTTGCGTTCGTACTTTGGGGAGCAGGAAAGAGAGCTGAGCCGATGCTCAGAAATATACCTTGCCCTAACACCAATTACCCGGCGGCTTTTTTTTGCCGTGTCGTAACCCGTTTGACGAAGGACCTTTCAGCATGGCCATGTGTGTGGTTCCCTTCATGTATGTCGTTTTCAGGTGGGCTCCTTTTGGGCCAACGTGCCACGTGCGTGATTTTTAAGGAAGAGAATGGGGATGGCAGTAATCATGCTCCGGTGGTCACGGTATACTGCGCTTTGTGTCAAGGGCCAAACGCATTTTACCGCGTGAATGGTTCCCAACATTTTGTTGTTCGTGGTGTGTAAATCGCAAACGCCACACCTCCCCACAGGGAGTTTTCTCTAAATCGTGCGGTCTACAATAGTTCACTTTCCATGCAGAACACACATGAGAATCTCCCCCCTAAAAGACTGGCCGAAGCTCAAAAACTTTGAGTTAGCCCTGGGGCATTTTAGTCTTATTCGTCGCGGTTGGCCAATGTCCGAGGCATTACTCCCGGGATCTTCATCGTTTCATTCGCCTCCGTAGGGTGGCACTCCTCGTTCTGCAACAACAGCACCTTCGACCCATAAATTTAGTGTGGGGGGTGTCTGTCGCGACCTTCGTACGCACGAAACACATTTACCCATACACAACCAGCAGATCACATCAGCCACAACTCCGGCGTACAGGCAAGCACCTCTACGTGGCGCTTTGCTGCAGCACACGGAGGACAGGAACAACAACATACCAAGAAACGACGCCAAGCGCAAAGGTTGCAAGAGCACATCGCAGGGGGGCATTTGTCTGCCACCTACTCCGTGAGCCTATCTTAGGGGACGGTGTTCGACAAAAGAAAATTCACCTTGCACAGTTGCACAGCACCTTT